TTAACATCTTACATGATCATAAATAATTTCTCAAAACTAAGAAGTTAACCTTGATACAATAAATACTGTTAATGAAAGTATAAAATTTATTAGATTTCACAAGTTTGTCCACTAACGTTCTTTTCCTGTTTTGGTATCTAATCCAGGATCCCACCTATGCATTTCCTGAGTTTTCCTAGTCTTTCATGACCTTGACTTTTTTTAAGAGTACTGTCCATTATTTGTAAAATTTTCCTCAATTTGGGTTTATCCTATATAATAAAAGACTAATATGCAAATTGACCAAATGGCAGAATGACCACCAGGGGGCAGACGTTCAATGCAGGAGCTGCCCCCAGCCCGCAGGTCCCAAGCCAGCCAAGGTGGGTGCCAGCACCGCCCCCCTTCACCCCACCCTGCAGAGGGAGGCAACAGGCAGCAGCGGGAGGCATGGCTGGTGAGTGGGCGGCACTAGGCCTGCCAAAGCGGGTGACAGCAGGGGGCCCCCCCGATTGCCCCACTGGTCACTCCACAGATTGGTCCTGATCGCCAGCCAGGCCTAGGTACCCTACCCATGCACGAATTTCATGCACCGGGCCTCTAGTTTCTTATAATAGAGTGAGGTGTCCATTATTGAGAAGCATAACAGAGAGGTGATATGCCCTTCTCAGTGCATTGTATTAGAGGGTACATGATGTCAATATGTTTTATTGGTGATGTTAACTTTGATCACTTGGCTTAAAGTGGTGTCTGCCAGGATTCTCTACTGTAAATGTGTATTTCCCCCATCTTTATTAGATTTTGATCATTCCCATTTTGTGATTCTTTGGGATAATGGGTTCAAAACCAAGAAATCTTTCATTCCACCCCTACACTCCCCAATTACTCCCCAGAGCCACACCCATGTCCCATTATATGCCTGATCACTTTCCTCTGAATTTACTTAAGTTGGGCATTTGGAGGTGTGCACAGAAGCCAGATGCAGATACACCTGGAGTTTAGTAGGGCAGCAGGGTGCTTCTAGTTTATTTTCATGGATATTTTTGTCCAGGTCCTGCAAGTTTCTGCTGACAGGGGTACTCTGGAAAAATGTGGCCAGCAACTGTCCACAGGAATGTCCAGCTCTTTTCCATGTCCCTGATCTCTGAGCCCTTTCTTCAGCTTCTAACACTGGGTTTTTTAAAAAATCTCTAATAACATTTTCTCCTACTTGGCCATGTATAACTTCTTGCTGGCCACTGGCCCAAATACATGAGCTTCCTTCCTTCCAGAAAGCTCTTCATTCCTTCAAGAGTTTGCTATCATGAGAGATCCTGCCACTAGAACAGATACATAAATAACATTTTTCAATAAGTTGAGTGTGAAGAAATGTGCTTATCAACTCTTCCCTTTGTCTCCATCTCTATCTGCCCCAAGTTTAGTCAGTGTGTCTTCTCATGCTGCCCCTTTAGAAGATGAAGAGGCACTACACCTCCTCCAACCTCATGCAGGCTCCGTTTTAAAAAGCTTTTGTGTAAAAGTGTATTAAAGGCCCTGGAAAGCCTTAGAAGATGCCTTCATCAGCTCCCATTCCTTCTTGGCCCTTTGTTCTGTTTACTATTGCTGTATAAGAAATTATTCCAAACTTCAAGGTTCCAAACAATCATTTTATTTTGCTTATGCATTTGTGGGTCAGAAATTCAGGAAGGGTGTGGCCAGGCAGCTCTCACTTGGAGTCTCTCATGCAGTTGCATTCAGATGTTGGCCAGGCTGCAGCCATCCAAAAGTTCCACGGGGCTGGTCATCCAAGATGGTGCCCTCACATGGCTGAAAGTTTGTGCCGGCCATCAGCTGGGCACTCACTAGGTAGGCTGTGGATGGGAACACCAATCTATAGTTGCTTCAGCTTGACAGTCTCAGGGTAGAACCAGGAAGAAACTACATGGCCTTTCCTAGACTCAGCCTAGATTCAAGGGGAGAGGAGACTCAAATAACCGAGGACTTATTTTAACCCTTGCCACTCCCACCAAAATGAGATTTTCTCATAGAACATTATTCTTCCAAGACCACTTTCCCTCACAGGTTCTTGGCCACCCCCAGCTTCATCAGATCTTTTAGGCTAATGCTGGGAGTGACTTCCATCTTTGTGGGATGATGACTCATCAGTTCCTACCTCCCTCAGTTGCTGCTGCAGAGGACTTGGGTTCTGGTTTCAACTACTGTGCCACCATGGGAAAGTGACTTCACGTCTCTGGGCTTCTGGACTTTACCTTCCTGCAAAGTAGGAATTAGGAACAATCTCACTTTGCAGGCAGTTAGGATTTTAAAAGATGCTGTAAATAGAAGACCTAGCACAATTGATGCTCCTGATTGTGGAATAAATAACGATGGGTGAGTCATTTTTCCTCTTGGAGACTTAGTTCATTTATCTCTAAAATGGGGGTAATCCCCTTAGCCTGCTTCCCCATCCAGATGAGAGGTCTTAAATGAACAAAGGGAGGGTCAGCCCAGAGGTTAAGGCTTCCAGACCCAAACCTGGGCAGGAAGCATCCTGCATTTATGCCAATCTGAGGTGAGTTCAGTGTGTGTGCAAGGCAGCCTGGGTGTGGTTTGGGGATACTATCGGCCTGACTCAGCCTTATCAGGTCTGGGCTGGCCACAGCTTGTCCCAGTAGAACAAAGAGGCTTTGAGAACCAAGCTGGGGTATGGGATGTGGGGCCAAGCCCCAGGAGGTGCATCCCACCCAGAGGGCAGAGCAGGGTTGGGGGAGCTGCCACCAGGAAATCCAGACATGCTACATACCCTCGCATGCCCCATGCTCAATGGTCTCCTGGTGTCAGGACAGAAGAGTTGCCTTCTCTAGTTAGATCTCCTCAGGGGACGTTTTTAAATGGAGAGGTGCTTATTTCCAGTTCCCACACCTGAGCTGCTGTGTTAGCAGCAGGCCTGGTTGCCTAAAGGATTGGTGCATTGGGCTCAGCCTTTCCTGTCAGATGCCATCTGCGGGCAGGCAGCACCTTCAGGCTATGTTGGGGGAGAAGGGGGAGTGCAGGCCCACGTGGCTTCAGAAGAGCCATGGCCAAGGTGATTGGGTCTTTCCAAACACAAGAGAGGAGCATGTAAGGACAACTTGGGGATGGGGATCTGAGGAGAGGCCTCTGCACAGACAAGTCAAAGAGCCAGGGTGCAGCGACCTCTATGTGGAGGTAGTCTGCCCAGGCTGTTCCAGAGGCCTCATAGCCAAGGTGGGATCTCAGGCTTAAAAACCTGAAGTTGTTTTGGGCCCTTTACTCACCCTTACTGCTCATCCAAATGGGTTTCAAGTCCTGGCCATTTTCCTGCCAAAATGTCTACAATCCGTAGACATTTTTCTGACCCCCACAGCCACCTCTTCAGTCCAGAAGTTAGTGAACTTCTTTACCAAGTGTATAGACTCCTGCTTCCATAGCTGCCTTCTCTGGTCTGTCCTCCACACTGCAACTGGGTGAGCTTTCTGAAACCATCTATCCTAGTTGCATGTTCTCCCAACTTCAACCCCTACAGGCATTCACCAAGCCCTCAGGATGAAGTCCAAAGGCATGGAACACAAGGCTCAATGTAACCTAACTGCTGCCCACCTGTCTACCGCAGCTTTGCCAAACCCACTTGCACTGAACAGCTTTGCAATGCTGACCTAGTGGTGGTTCCTTCAAACCCCCAGCCTCACTCAAGTCTGAAAGCCTTTGCACTTACTGCGTCCTCAGCCTGGATCCCTTCCTTTACTCACCTGCCATGCAAACACCTCCTTGCCCTTCCTGCATGGTCCCCATCTCCAGGACATTTTCCTAGTTCCAGCCTCTCTGTGGCACTCCAATAGCCCCTGTGAGGATGTCAGGCACAGCACTCAGCACATGGCATGGACATCCCTCTTCCTGTGCTGCTCCCTGCTATCCAGTTCCCTGAGAGCAGGGACTGCCTCTTTCCCTCGCTCTGGCACAGTGCCTGACACATGGTGTCCAGTAAACAATGACTAAAGGCTACAACTCTGAATGAAGGTTACAACTGTGGATGCAGCAGCCTTGGCCAAGGGCTGAGCACGAGCCACGCTTTGGATCAGAAGCTGCCTGGGCCTAGGCTCTATGGTTGACCTTCTGCTGGGCCTTGGCATTGTACAGCGGTTGGGGCAAGCTGGGTTCTGGAGGGAGGGATTAGGGGCCATCACACTGCAGAGGTGGAGGGTGACTTTTTAGGTTGTTTCTCCTGGTCTCCCTGCTCACATAGTTTCCTCACACCTGAGTCCAGGATTCCCAGAAAAGTTGCAGGTCTCCACCTTCACCCCAAGTTGCATGGATTCAAATCCTGCTTATCACTTGTTGTAACATCTTGAGCAGCCGTGGGCAAACTACCGCCCGCGGGCCAGATCCGGCCCGTTTGAAATGAAAAAAACTAAAAAAAAAAAAAAAGACCGTACCCTTTTATGTAATGATGTTTACTTTGAATTTATATTAGTTCACACAAACACTCCATCCATGCTTTTGTTCCGGCCCTCCGGTCCGGTTTAAGAACCCATTGTGGCCCTCGAGTCAAAAAGTTTGCCCACCCCTGATCTTGAGCAACTTACTAATCTCCCTGTGCTTCTGTGTTCTCATTTGGAAAAATGGTAATATTATAGAATATACCACAGTGGGCTGTTATGAAAATTAAATGGGTGCTTCATGTGAAGCACTTAAAACAAAGCCTGGCAACGGGGAATCTTCATTAAATGACAGCAGCTTTTATTCATTGTAGCCTTGTGGGGGCCTATTCCCCCAGATGACACCGTTCCCGGGGGAATGAAGTTTTCTCTGGAGTTTTCCTCCATGGAGATGGGGATTGGTAAGATAAAAATCTGAGCAGTCACCCAGCACAGTAATCTCTGTATGTTAGAACCTTGGCAGTGGTTTGCTCTAACAACCAGCTCTCCACAGTGTGAGGAGCCCTAATTTGTAGCATACACCAATTTCCATGGTATAAATAGTCCCACCATGGTCTATATCAACTGGCTCATGAAGTTCCTGAAAATTTAACAATTGTACCCCTGAGCCTGGGAATCAGCTAACCCGTAGTGAACACAGGGCCCCACCTTCACCCCAAGATTGGTCTTTTGGGCGGGGCTGGCAAAAGTGTCATTCTGTTTTGGCAATAAACTGGGCCTTCTATAGACTAAGTAATGTCTCTCAAAGTGTGATCCATGGGCCATCTGCCGTGTTTGGAGTGTTTGTAAAATTAAGTTCCTGGGCCCTCACTCTGGATTTATTGAAGCAAAATCTTGGAAGTAGGGCCAAGAATAATTTTTAACAAGCTGCCTAGGTGAGTCTGAGGTTTTAGAACTTCCAGGTTAGGGACCCCTGATTTATCCAAGAAGTCAGAAGGCAGATGTGATGTCTCCAGAATAATTTCATGCCATGGTCCATGATCACAATGAAGAGTCAGAAACCCAGGCCCCAAGAAAGACTTGAGTCAGCAGGGAAAGCACCGTGACTAGAGGTGGTGGTCTAGATGAGTGAAGTGACCATGAACTAGTTACCTCACCTCTCTCTCTCTGGTCCAACCTTGGGATCAGCATGCTAAGGCCTGCCCTGGCATGAACACAGGTTTCTTTTGGGACTTTGCAGAGCTTTGATGAGAACAGGCCTGCAGAGGGGGTGGAGTACTGGAGGTTTTGTCCTCAGAGGAAAGTAGCACATCCCTGACTCCGGACTATCCAAGTATTGAATCCACTCAGCATTCTGGACTCTATGGCTCTAACAACTTAAATAATTTTTATTACAAAAGGAAGAAAACACCAAAATATCCCTCAAATTCTCCCATGGGCTTCCCCCTTGGCGCCAATAAATAAGGTGGGGAAGACTGACCAGAGGAGGGGGCGGGGGTCATGGTTCAGCAGAAGAGGGAGCTTAGCCTGGACAGGGATGGGAAGGACATCCAGCCCACTCCCCGTCCCGGGCTCTACGGTCACATTGGCTGGAACACAGAACTCTGCCCACTGACAGCAACAGTCTCTGGATGTGTCCCAAGGAGTGTGGCCAGGGAGGAAGGACGTGTCTCAGGATGGCCAGGATGGCTGCCCCACCCTGCAGCCTTCTCAGTTCCAGGCAGCATTGAGTCCAGCCAGCTCCCTGCTGGCTCCCAGGGAATCTAGCAGCATCAACTGAGGTGCAAGCCCACCAAAGGGGGGCCTAAGACAGATAGAATGGGCTCTCCCCATTGGGGGAGGCAGGTATGAAAAATCGTAGTGAGAGCTGGCTGGGTTGGGACCCACTGTGCCAGTCTAGAGGTCTATAGTTAGAAAGATAGACCACCCTTTTGCCAGCTCAGCTTGCAGCTCTGTCACTACACCAAGATGGTGGTGGAGGACTTTGGCATTGCCCAGTCAAGTCTCAATGGTATATCTCTGTAGGGGGCGGCAATGGTGGGATCCATTACCCCCTGCTCGGGTCTCTTCCAGGGCCAATGCCCTCCAGGTAGGGAGGCCTTTGGATCCAGTTGGGCAGTTCCGGGAGGACAGTGGAGGAATCTTTTCAGCTCCCTGGCCCAGCCATGCCCAGTGAGTGAAAGCTGCTCTCTTCCAACAAGAGCTGTCCCAGGCGGTAGAGCAGCTGGGGGTACCAGTGCACACCCTCCCCCGGGGTCCAGCTGCCCCACGTCAAGCTGTGGAACAGTCGAAAGGGCCAGAAGGCCAAGTGAGCCAGGCGGTGGTCAGCCACGGCCGCGAAGCAGGAGGCCACCACATCCTCTACCACCAGCGTCCCGTGCCTTGTTAGTGGGGCATAGGCCCCAAGGGCAATATGTGTGGAGACAGCTGCCACTCGGGCAGGCTGCAGGCCTGGCACCCCAGCCACCAGCACATACTGGCCAGGCTGCACTTGACTTGCAAATGTGGCCCGGAAGTGGGCCGCTGGTTCTGTGTGATTGTTGGCAGTGAAGAGCAGATGGGCAGGTGTGAGTGCCAGGCGTCTCGGGGGGTCCTGGGTCTCGATGACCTGGAAGGCCCTCAGCTTATCTGGCTCACGATCCAGGAAAATGAGCACATCACTGAAGGTGGGGTTCCCATCCTCCCCCATGGCCAGCACCCGGTCTCCTGGCCTCACGGCTGACAAAGCTACACGTGCCCCACTCTCCAGGCGCACCTGGGCTCCAGCAGGGAAGCAGCCACCTGTCTTGGCTGCAGCTGAGTGCTCTGTGGGAAGAAGGGACATGAAGGTGTTACTGCTGTGGAGCTCAATTCCCAGTCATAGCATCCTTCCCAAGCCCAGCCAGTGCTCCCTCTTGCTCCCAAAGAGCCCCCATCACCATATCTTGGCTCCTATCCCCACTTCTCATGCAGCCTTGAACCCACTCCAACCCACAATGTGATCTCTGCCCTTCTCCCCAGTCTAATCCTTTGCCAATGAGAGGAGCATATTGTGGCTCCAGTGAGTGAGAAGGAAAAGGCCATCCTGAAGCCCAGACGAAGTCCCCATCTGTTTTCAATCCTGACAATGTTGTGCAGCAGTCAGAGAGGTCAGAGGTCAGCTGAGCCAGGCAGTGATCAGCTGTGATTGACACCCAGAAAGCTGCAGCCTCGTGGAGAAGGTGAGTCACTTAGCTCCTCTGGGGTCTAAATGTGCTATTATTTCTCACTCCCCCAGTGGTGCCCTCTCAGACTGACATGCCAAGTTCTGTGCCAGAGCTGGCCCTTGGAGTCCATATGGAAGTGAAAGGAAGACCAGCCGCGGGGTGAATATAGACTCCAGGGAAGCCTGGCTCAGTGGCAATGGTAAAATCACTGTCTCAATTCATGTGCTGGGTCCTTGTGCAGGAACAGGACACAGTGGCATCAGTGCGTGGGATGGAGAACAGTGTTTGGGGGTCAGGAATAAGGAATGGAAGTGGCCTCTCTGGGAGCTGGCACCGGGCCAGTGTTTGCAGGTGAAGCGTGGATGTGACTTGAAACAGATACCATTGGCAAGAAAGTGCTGAGGAGAAGGGCAGTGTGGGAATGGGGGTGGGGTCACCCCTGTGGGCCCAGGTGGGATCAGGAATAGTAAAAAGGGGCCTGGTCTCCGTGTGCAGGGTCTGTGCATGTGACTATGCCTGGTACCAGCATGGTGGGCTGAGCCTGCAGCCCTGGGGCCAGGCTGGCAGTTTCACAGGAAACACTTGAAGCATCCATGACTGGATTCAGTGTGGTGACAGGGATGCTGACAAGATTTGAGAGAGGGGCAAGGCCCCAGTGCCTGCCAATTCGGATCAACAAGGCGGCAAATTTGGGAAAATACACTTTATTGAGTCCATTCTGTTTATTCTGGCCCTCGTGGTTGGCTTTGCCCCCAAATGCCCAGTTTCAGGGCTCTGAGGGAGAGGTGGGGATGCCTGCACCCCCTGGGAGGAGCATACCTAGTGCCCTAAAGGGTCTGGCCTGCAGCCCCGTTGTAGGTTCTGAACCTCTGGGCTCCTGGCTCCTGGTCAGACTTGCTGATGTCTGGGCAGCCCTGGCCCCTGCCCCCACCCCACCCGCCTCATTCTGCACCAGACTGGGTGGGGAGGCTGTCTGTCACAGCCTGGCTTCCACATCCGCTCAGCTCGCTGTCTTGAACCTCCTGCCGCAGGCTTCCAGTGGTTCTCAACCTTCCTAATGCCGCGACCCTTTAATACAGTTCCTCATGTTGTGGTGACCCCCAACCATAAAATTATTTTTGTTGCTACTTCATAACTGTAATTTTGCTACTGTTATGAATCGTACTGTAAATATCTGATATGCAGGATGTATTTTCATTGTTCGCGACCCACAGGTTGAGAACCGCTGACTGTGGACCTCAAGGTCAGCACCCAGCAGCGCCGGGACAGGGCCCTGTCTCACTAGGCTCCCAGCATTGACACTACCAGGCGCGGGAGGAGCAGGCGGTCACAAGAGGAAGCGGGGAGTGCCGCCGACGTCCTCTTTCCCGGGGTTCCCGCCTCCATCCCCGGGCGGGTCTTTTCTTCTCGGCCCCAGAGGGCCCTGCGCCGCCTGCCCACGCCCTGCGGCCCCGGCCCCGGGCCCAGTCCCCCGGCAGCGGCTCACCGGACTTGACGGAGCAGTGCACGTGGGCCTTGGACTCATAATACACCCAGTCGAAGCCGGCCTCCACTGCCAACCGCGCCAGCAGTCCGTACTTATTGCGGTCGCGGTCCGACGTGGTGATGTCCACTGCGCGGCCTTCGTAGTGCAGCGACTCCTCCGAATGGTGCCCGTCTTCGTCCCAGCCCTCGGTCACCCGCAGCTTCACGCCGGGCCACTGGTTCATCACCGAGATGGCCAGGGAGTTCAGGCGGTCCTTGCAACGCTGCGAGAGGAAAGCGCCGAGTTAGGGGGAGGAGCTGGCCCGCATGCAGGTGGAGTCCTAGCCTCGCTCTCCCAGTGCAACCGCTGGAGTTGGGAAACCGGGAAGGGGGCTCTTTTCCTCTCTCTTCGGAACACAGAGCCCTAACTTACTTCCGTTATAGCATCGGCTGCCCCACGGACCTGGACCGCACAGTGACGCCGCAAATCTGAAGCGCATGGCAAGCCCTATACCCTGAGGGCGCCTTTCTCGGATAAGTGGCCCCTCCCTTCTCTGCCCCGCACGGGTACCAATTCCTCCGCAGCCTACACCTTTCCAACGCCCAGTCCTTCTGTTTCACGGAAGCACCGGAGACCAGGGACGCCTGCTACCTCGAGGGGCCGGAGCGGCCTGCGGCGGGCCTACTAGGCGTGCAAGGCCAGAGATGCCCAGTAGGTGTCACCGTAGCCTCAGGGCTGAGGCCCGGGGACACCAGCCCCGGAGGCGCGGCAGGTGCGGAGACCCAGCAGCATGGGGGTGTATTGGAAGGGAATCCCTGGCCTACCTGGATCCCTCGGGCACCACAAAGCATTCCTGCTGGGACCCTCTTATGTCCAAAACTTGCCCGCACCCCTGCCGAAGTAGGGCAGCCCTGTCCCCAGAAGTTGGTGGAAGGACTAGTGCCCGGCCTGGCCCTATTAAGGGCGACGCGGAGCGTCTCCCGCTACAAGGGTCTCCGCAGGGTTGATCGTCTTAGGTAATGTCCCCCGAGCCCAGAGTCCTCCGCGCCTCTGCGCTGCTCCCATCTGCGAAGGGACTCCAGAAATCGAACTTCTAATCTCAGGGAGCCGCCTCCACGCTCCGCCTCACACGGGGTGGGAGTAGAGCCGCGCCCGCGGGAAGGACGGGAGAGATCACCTGTCTGTGCTGACTCCCCGCGTGCCTGCAGCCCAAGGGACCCTGCAGTTAACTGGGGGGAGGGGCCGGCAAGAGAGGGGGCCCTTCCACAGTCCTTGACTCTGAAGTTCGAGGTGCCGCCAGGCGTGGGTAGCCCCTGTCTCAACCTACCCCCACCCCGCAGAGCCCGGCCCCACAGACCCTTGGACTCTGTCTCCCAGGAGCCAACAACGTTTACAGCCCAAGGCCCGTAGTCCTCCCTGGCCGGCAAGCTAGCTGGGGCGCTCACTGCCCCAGGAGGGAGCTCCGTGTGCTCTTGCCTCCAGGCTTCTAGCCCCCCACCTATGTTCTCTGGCGGCCCCTGCTCATCGCCTCTCTCTCTCCCACCACCCCCCGCCCCCTCGGGTCCAGAGCCGGGGCGCGCGCTGTCAATGATTGCCCAGCCCGTGGCCCGGATCCTTATCTGCATTCCTCTGCGCCCAGCCCGGCCCGGCCACCAGCCAACCTTC